AAAAAAAAAAAAAAAAAAAAAAAAAAAAGAAGAACCCAGGCTCCTTAGGTTTCATACTTCATTTTGGAGTAGCATGAAAGATGTTTGGGATAACTGACTTCCATTTTTGCTTTGATTTGGGATTGTTTGCACTTTAATTTCTTTTAATATGTTGCTTAGAGCTCAGTGCATTTTTACTGGCTGAAGCATTGTATCTAAACTAATAGCCAAATTTTATAATATGTAACTCCTACTTACATTTTTCTCTCTTTTCTTTTTCCAGGGATGAGCTGTAAAGGCAACATCAGCTTGACCAGTCTGTAATATTGCAATGGATTGCTCATCTCAGTCCTTACAGCTCTTTGAAAACCATCAGCATCACAGCTTGTTTTGGACTTTGTTACACTATTATTTTCAGCATGAAAATGTGTGCTTTTATAGGGTTTTCTCATTCTTCAGAGAGGCACAAAACCAAACTGGTAGAGGAAGGATGCAAAGTATAACTTTCTATATGATTACATGCCCACATTTTACTTTAAAATATTAAAAGAAAGGGTTCTGCAAAATGGAAACCTTAGTTTGTGAGTTGATTTTGAAGAGTGATTTATTTCTTCTTTCGGATATTTAATTCTTCCAGTATTAATTTACCAGGTCTTTTGTGCATCAGATAACACCACCATTTACAAGTTAATATTCTTGGTATTTGGTTATCTGTTAGATGCTACTAAGAATATAGAGATGAGCTTTCTTTTTAAAGCTTTTGATGTGGTGTCATAGAATAGCATGTTGTAGATACAATCAGCTGCTTTGTTACCCTAAAAGTAGGTATTTGTAAATATTGAAACTTAAAATGGCAAGTGGTGTCCAATAAACACTCAGCTGTTCAGATTGGACATAACTGACATAGTTCTTCCTTTCTCTAAAAATGATAGGAGACTTGTAGCTGACTATTGATTTTTCTGTTTCTAGTTTGCTGCTGATAATGTATATGAATCTAACATGCTGTGTAAGCTGTGTGGTAGTTACTGCACAGTTTAAGCAGTGCTGCTTTGCCAAATAAAGTTAAAAGCAAAAGAGGTATTGGTGGTGTTTGAATCTAGATGGAAGAACAGCAGGTCAACCAGATCAAGAATGCTAAGATCACAGGGAATGGTTGTTTCTCTGCTGCTCCATTTTGTGAAGTATGAGTAGTTAAGTAGTGTTAATTCATCTGTACATTGTAGAAAGTAACTGCATTTCTTCAGGACAAGGACTATATTTCATTCACTATTTCTCTCTGCCTACTTACTCCCGGGCTTATCGTTTAGTACAGTGAATGAGTGGGTGAATGAATTGGCTTACTGTCAAAGTAGAACACGATTAAAGATAAACATACCAAAATCCATGTCTCATCTATAGATAGATTCATTAATGACTGTAAAGTGTGTTTCTAAGAAGGTAGTGGCACTTTGGGATCTTGTATAAATGCTGTGGTTTTATACATTTTGTAAGAAGGCATTAGTTTTTCAGAACTTGAGGAAATAATAGAAGCTGTAGAAAGATCAGAACTAGCACTCCTGGCAAAGCCATTCTAAAACTGTGTGCAAGTCTTCATAATTCTTCCACGGAGATCTTTGGTGAGCTTGTGACACAGCCTTCCCCACTTTTAAGTATTATTTAATTCTTTAAAATTGCCTTTAAAAATCAATAATACATCTATTTACGAGTGTCTTTTCTTGGGTAACATCTTAGACACATTATTAGCATTATTTAGTGCCTAAAACTTGAGAATCTTAAAAGTTTACTGCCAACTTCAGTTTTCTATTATTGTTTCTGGATCTCAGCCATGAACCCTGTGCCCAGGACTCAGTGTCATTTAAGGTGTTTGCAAAGATCAAAAAAATTTGTTTTAGGTCATATGTTCTTTAGATTTAAAATTAAATAAATTCTAAATCTGTGCACTAGTCTGGGTCCTTCATAGCTATTATCAGTATTTCATTGTATGTAATAAGTTTTGGCAATAGAAAAAGGCACTCATTCTCAAGGAGTCTATGGCCTAGTTGAGGAAACAGTTTATAGGTATGATAAGATAGACTGTTACCTGATGGTACAAAAAAATGCTATACTTAAAACATTTTTCAATCATTACTTTTGGATGTTATGCTTTTTTTTTTTTAAAAAGACACGGTCTCACTCTGTAATTCAGGCTGGCCTTGAACTCACTGCATAGCCCTTGAACTTATGGTGATCCTGCTGCCTCAGTGTCCTGGGTGTAGGTGGATGTTACACTTTCATGAATTAAAAATTTGGGATATTTAACAGGATGAATTTTTAGGGAGCACCACTAGATAGGTAGAGATCAAAGTAATGGATTTTTAACTAGGTCTAAAAGCTTCTTTTTGGGGGGAATTGGGGATTGAACTTGGACCTTGCACTTGTAAGGCAGGCTGCGCTTGTAAGGCAGGCAGCGGAACCACTGAGATAAATCTCCAGTCCTAAGAGTTTTTTTTTTTTTTTTTTAAAGAACTACATTTATGTATGTTTAGGTTAAAATAAGTATCTTGTTACACTCTTTAGTATTCATGATTTCTAAAATGTTTTAGTATTTTATTTTTTTTAAGTCACATTATTCCTTTATATAATATGAAAGGCAATAGTGAAAATAATTAAAAGTTCCATTGTAGTGAGATCTGTTGAAATGATATTTGATATTCATTGGGTCTTATTAAATGCTAAATATAATTGTTAAAATTTATTATATAATAAGCTTTAATTGAGAATATCAGTTTCTATTAAGGATTTCAACTTTCCCAACCAATCACATTAAAAATGTTGTATTACTGTTGTCCATGTAAATATTTAAAATCCCATTGCCTTGGTTTTAAAAATTGCAGTTGTCCAAAAAAAAAAAAAAAAAAA